TCCCCGGAAAAAAAATATTTTTTTAATATATTTTTCAGTTTTAATTTTATTATTTATCGGTTTAAAGGCTCAAAATTTTACAAGTTCCAAAATTATGAGTTCGAAGGTTTATATGTTTGGAAGTTTACAGGTTTAAAAATTATAAAGTTTACGGGCGGGTTTGAAATTCTGTGGTTTTGAAAGTTTAGCGGTTTCAAAAATTTATGAAATTTGTGTGTCCGGAAAGTTGTTGGTTCGAAAGTTTATGACTTCATGTTTATTATATCTAAATTACTTATGAATACTCTTGAAAAGTCATTTTCCTTAATTTACGTACCAAACAACAGAAAATGAATAAGATTACTACTTATTTTCCAAGAAAACATTTTCCGTTATACCAAACACACCCTACATTGTGTTGTTTTGAAGGACTTGAGGATAAGTCAGTGATTTAAAATCAAAGGGCTTTTAACAATTTGGTCGTTCGATTGAAAATAATTATAACTGCCAGTCAAATATGTAAAAGATATATATTTATAATATATAAAATATGCATATTATATATTAATGTACAAAAAAATATATTTTTTGACTATTACTTTGGAGGACGACTATACATAGTAGATTTCCCAAAATCAAACCTTATACCTTAAGAACAGGGTATAAGCGCTGTGAATTAGGAGCAGACGCGTATTCAGCTTGGGCTCCTCTCCCTAGATCATGTATAATAATGTTATATTTTTCAAAATTATTTAAATATATGTGTGTGAACCCATGCTCAAAGACTCTTATGGTGTAACTATTATTGGGTGCACCTTTAAAAGTGAAATTAGCGATTCAAATCCCACTCTGAATGGTCTTATTTTCAGCATGGAGTATAAATATGCGTGAAAATTACTAAAATTTCAAAAAGAATATAATTTTGAACCTATAATTTCAACAGTGTAGTGAGTTCATGGGAAAAGACTAAAGTTAAATCCGTCAAATATAAATTCTAGTTGCATCTCTTTACAACAGTGTACCCATCCTCTTGAAATCTTGAATATTTTGCTTTCCTTCCCTTCTTTTTCCTTTTCAAATAGTGTTTGTTCTCCACGAATTTGATGACACGAGCTAAGCATTATTTCCAAAAATATGAGGTGCAGATAATTCTCATTTTATATGACAGGCGTTCCTTCACAAGTATTTTTATGAGAAACTCCAAAAAGGAATTATGTTGAGCCAGTAAATTACGAAAGATTATTCTCTTGTGGGATAGAATTGAATGTCCAGACCACTAGCTTAATAGCTTTTACATTCTGAGGGGTAGAGAGCGAAAGAGAGATTCTCAACAGGGCGACATCAGAGTTCCAGATTTTTGTAGGTTGCTTTAGAACAATGTTCGGAATATGAAATTAAATGCATAAAAACCGCAAAACTGATCCAGGACTTGCATTAAGATAAACCAAGCAATGAATTTGTTACTGAAAGATAAGTGGGCAAATAGCAAATGAAAAATGTGTCTCAAATATCTACTCCTAGGGTACAACTGGAGCTTTGACAAATAACTAACAAAAAAGAGTACAACTGGAGCCACAAATTTCTTCTCTTTCCTTCATTTATCTTGCAAACAACTTGCCTCATAACCGTTACATGAATGTAATAGCCTCTAGTGCATTTTATAATCATATGCTGGATCCTTTGCTTTACAATATGGAAATTGATCTAAGAGACAACATGCCCTTCTGCGCAAATATTGCAGAGGGGCAAACATAAACCAGCATGCAGGTGTATCTGAGATCATCTTCATGTAGTAAAGTGTGGCTACGTTGGCTGCCGAAGCATCTGCTGAAGCTGAATGACCTGCTGCTGCTGATCTGGTGGCAGTGAACTTAGCTGTTCAGGAGTCAGACTCAGTACTTGTTGCAGCAAGGCAGACTCAATGTCCGAGGGAAGCTGCACCTGTTGAAAAACAAGAGCATATCTTCATATAACTAAACTACCATGTTATAACCACACCCTGCATGATTCCAAATTTAGTACCAAATCAAGACAATTAGTTGTTTCTATAGAGAAAATAAAGGCATTTAACATAATCAGATCCGGAATTTAGCAGACTGTATCAGAGGGTACTAGTTAGACAATCTTTCAAATCAACATGTCAAGCAAGAAAATAAGTGGGAGTAGAATCATCTAAATTCACTTTTCATTTGCAAAATAATCTGTCTTAAGTTTCTGCAATTGATTAAAAAGAAACAGAAACACTCTAAAATTACCTGACTAGCTTGTTTATCAGAGTTTGACACTTCTGCTGCAGCTGAAACTTGAGTCGAGGGTCCTGACAGGGACGTAGATACACTTGCATCAGGCAAGGCATAACTTATTCCATCATTTAGTCTAGGCAATTTCGATGGCCGGCTAAGAAGATCTAGATTATTAGTTGCCCCTCTCTTTTCCTCAGGCAAACCTGCAGGGTAAGCTGGTCTGGTAATTGAAGATGAATTATTTGGAGCCTGTGGTCCTCGAGACCCTTTATTCATATTATCCATGACACCAGAAACTGCTGAAGGGTTTACCTGTTAACAAAAAATTTATACAAGATCATATTTGTGTCCCTTTGAAAGTACAACACCACTGAAGTAAGTCTTGCAAGAAAGATACACACTGTTCCATGTAGCAACTATCCTATGGACTTCCTGTTTTCATTGCTTTTGGGAGTTATTCAAGTAAACGTTCTAGAAGTAGAAAAGGGGTGAGGAGCAGAGCTTTTATTATCAAAGATAAGCGGCCTTTTGCATAAGATTCTAGTTCTCTTCTCGTACAACTAAAAAGCTATTAAGAGAACCTGATATTTAGACTCTCTTCCTTTCTAAGGTAAAACACATTGTTATTTATTCGTCGGATAATTACTTACCCAATCAAGCATGACAATCGTCTACTTGACCAAAGTAAGTTTTACTGACCTTATTAAGTCATTTCCATGACATTTTAAAAATAATACTTCCACATATTTCATATTTTGCCATTGCCGTTCATTTATTTGCACTAATGGACTAACAGTTCAAGAAAGATAGGCACCTGAAAACCTTGTTCCAATAATGGGGGAAGCGTTGATTGAGGAGGATGATAGTTTGTATTTGTAGTCCCCAGCTGACTATTATATGAAAAATTTGTAGATGCAACTGGCCCAGCTTGTTGTAAGAAAGAAGGATGCATTTGCTGCTTTATAGAAGAGGAAGTTCCCATCTGAACTGGCGGATTAATTGATACATTGACCTGGGGTTGCACAGATGGAAGGATTCTAGAAGGCGTAGGCAACTGACTCTGCAAAATTTGGTTCTGTGCTGGTTGGGCAAGATGAATCTGAGGCCGTGCCTGGGGGAGCAAACTAGGGGGAAGTGGGGGTAACCCAGGGAGAGACTGAGTTGCTAGTTGTTGACTTCGCTGACCATCTAGCAACAATGGCTGCAGTTGAGGTGCAGTAGATTGCCGAATGTTTGGCATCTGCAACTGCACATTTCAAAGATGATTAGGTGTTGCTCTTTCACAACCTGATGCCTCAAAAAACAACCAAAAAAAAAGGAGAGAGAGAGGCATAAAGAGCCAGGCAATGTTATTAAGAAGAAAAAAAAGTATGGAGTCAGTGAACGAACCATTGGTTGGGACACCATTCCCAGTATTAGCTGTGCCTGCATTCATAAACAAATAAAAACTTATAGGCATGAGATAACACAATAATCATGCAATGCAAAAAGGAGCAATAGTGCTCTCTGAAGCTGAGAACTAGTAACTAGTAAATATAGTGAAACTATACAGAAAATGCATATTCTACTCTGTGTCTTAGGATAATAAAGATTGAAATTCAAATCAATTAAAGCCATATGTTTGATGTCACTCCACTTCCAAACTTTTAGATAGTGATTATAAATTCTGCCCAGAAAACATTAGCAGGTGGCAGAATAAAAGTCATCAAAGTAACAACCATAGCTCTGCTGCTTATCTACTGTATCTTACCTACAAAAAGAACATATACAAAGTGCTGAAAGAATGAAAAAATAACTAGGCAACGGAAGTGAGCACAAGTGAGAGGAACCCACTTTCCACATTCCTCTCCTTTTTTCTAGTAAGGTAAGTAAATTTTATTAAGGCAAGTACCAAGATGGTACTGCCAAAAAGAATTACTACAAATTTACAAAGGTCACCACATAGCAACTAAGCATTTTCCTACATTCCTCTCCATATGAGTACAACACGAGCGACGCATAGCATGTGGTCCTTTGAAGGGCCCCAATATATTAAGTCCAACTCTTACAACTCTTATGCACATTGGCAAACCGTGTGATAAAGCAGACAGATTCATTGTCCTAATCTAGCACAAAAAGTTTTGAATAGTGGTTTTCTAGTAATGATAAAACAAGCAGCCGAGGATAGAACACCATAAATGCAGTTTCAGAAGCCTTAAGTGGCTGCTTGGCCATGCTGCAGTAATGAATAGCACGAGCACAAAAGCCCTATTGCATCTAAGGGGTCACCACCTATGAAGAGTAGATGATTATTTTCATTATTGAGAAGTCAGCAACAGCAAACAGCTAAACAACAGCAGAAATGTGCAACCACATTAAGCATCTACCATAGTTCAATACCTGAAAAAGAGCTTTTGACAAATTTGGAATTGCTAACAGCAGTTGGCGTGTCTGTTCCTTGTTTTGTGTACACATTACCTGTCATCAAAATTACAATAATCATGTCAAGCAGTTATCCATGAGGATCACATGCACTGGTTGACACGATAATTAAAGGAATTACCAGAATACGACTATTTGGCTAAGTCATTTTTATACCACTCAGTCTATAGCTTTGTATTGTTTCAGTTACTTCTAGCTTAACTAAGAAGAGTGTCTTTGATAAATGAAAAGTACTCAAAGTTTTATCACTGTAATATATTTTTGCAGCAGACTTCAATCAGAGCTAGAAAAATCACGAATAGGAGAGGGATTTAATCAACATCCTGACCTTAAACTCAGACATTACATCATTCAGTTGGCTCCTAGACAATTTGGACATATGTAGTGTTAAAGGATCTACTCCAGATTGACTGAATGAGCTGCCAGTCTGAGCAGCTCCAAGAGCTCCTGCCATAACCGCTGCAGCAGTCATAGCTACTGACATGCCTATTGGCTGATGGAGTGCAGAATCCACAGGGACAGCTGGTCCCCCGATGTGTTTTTTGGGATCTGACAGATATTACAGAAAAAAAGTTAGAATCTAATATTCTATAGAGAAAATAAAATGCTACCGAGCACATGAATCTCATGCTCCCCTCTTTTTGCCTATTGGAAAAGAAAGGGCCAAGAGCAGATCTGAAATAGAAACATACCAATATTCGTAGCCATGCCAGGTCCGCCGCGACCCTGTCAGAAAACAGAAATAAGGTCAACTGAATAGATTTTATTAAAATTAGAGAAAGAAGTATCTGACGAGTATTAAGTTCGTTGTCCTTTCCCCTTTTCTCATTGGGCAGGATTAGCCACAACAGAGGAGTTAGTAATGACATGGTGGTGATACGTGATAGTCCACACGTGTTCAATAAATTACTTGCTTCTGAGTTGGAAAAGTTGACGTACAGAAAAAAAATGATAATACTTCAAACATTAAGTTCTCTCACAATATTTATGCTTCCGCCATCTTCATCAAGAGGAGTTTGAATTAGGGGTGTTTATGGTTCGGTTTGGATCGGTTTTTCCCTAAAAAGAAACTAAACCAAGTAAGTCGGTTTTTTAAATATTTGAACCAAACCAAACCAATTAAGTCGGTTTTTTCTTGATTCGGTTTATGTCGGTTTTTCGGTTTTTTCGGTTATTTGTCGGTTTTTTCTTAAATTAAGACATACACTACCAAACACACATTTCGGCGACCACATTTTCAACGTAACACTATCAAATCAATTGCCCTTTGAGAAATTTATTATTTACCAAGATATATTGATGATAATTGAAAAAAATAGTGATGAATAATTTAAGGACTCAATTAAAAATATATTCTTAACATGAAATAGATTCTTACACTTAACAAAAGAAAACTACCAATTAAACTAGAATGTAAAGGTAAAGAACTATACTAAAAGTGCAAACGATTAATATTTACTATAAAAAATTTAAAACTTTGTACAAAAATATACATATATATAGGTGTAATAATAAATTTAAAATAGCTACTCCTATATTTGGTTTGGTTCGGGTTTTTTTAATTAAAACCAAAACCAAACCAAATTTGATCGGTTTTTAAATTTCAAAACCAAAACCAAACCAAACCAAAAAGTATCGGTTTTTTTGGTCGGTTTGGTTTGGTTTTCGGTTTGGTTCGGATTTTCGGATTTTTATGAACACCCCTAGTTTGAATATTAAGAAGTGCTCCTTTTATCTTAATTTAAGAACAGTGTTCTGTTTGGGCACAACTGTTAAGGTATCAGTTGAAGTTTTGATGTATTTAAATGAAAGTGAGCCAACAATATAGATAAGTTAACTTTTTAAAGAATTTGGGCTTTAGTATAAAAATGAGGAAAATTGCACCTTTTTGATAACAAAAAGTTGATAACTTGAACATTGTAGCGAATAAGTCTTCATTTCAATCAAAGAATTATATTGCTGGCCGTTGAAGCCCTCTCGGGTTTACACATTTACATGAGCAAGAGCCTTCTTTATCCAGTTAATGGGGTGGAAAATATTCAGTTAGCTATGATTTTGGGGTGCAAAACAGGACAATTCCTGCTACTTACTTGGGTCTACATTTGGTGGCAAAACAGAAAGCATCTGATGTGTGGCAAAATAGAAGATTTGAGAAGAAATTGGATATGCGGAAAAGCAGTACTTATCCATGGGGGAAAGATTTATTGTTTCGGATAGCACCCCCGGCATTGGTCTAGCAGGAAGAGACAGCGCACGATATTTTGACGAGACTTCAGTGCCATTTTCTTTTTTTGATAATGTAAGAGACTTCAGTGACAATTCCAGAGATAAAAAGCTAAATGCCTTTCCAACCATTTTGGTTGGTAAAAACATGGGGACATAAATGGTCTAAATCAGTTTTTGGACTTCATTGACTCCTTGAGTTCTGTGTAGGAGTCACATCCGACTATTGTAATTTACATCTTCTGGATGCCGCTATCAATGTAAGTATCTTTACTTCATCAAAAAAGTCTTTTTTAACCCAACATAGAAAGTAAGACAGTTAATTTGGGATATAAGGGTAACCAAGACTCTTCCAATTGAACAAACTATTTCTCTGAAGCTTTGTTATTATGAACACACTACTTCAACAATTTTATGTGCTAATGACTAGTTTAGATGAACGGATCAAGATAAGACTGGATCAAAATACAGAAAAGTTTGAGTAAGATGTGACCCCAAAAAGTCCACGAACGACTACAAAGAAATTCACAGAAGTAAGTCAGATAGGTGATTCACCATAGAAGCAAAAGTAGAAACTCCAGAGGATAAGTGAGTAAATTGTAGGTAGCTAAAATGGTTAAAGCACCCAGGTACCAGTTTTAATGGTCATTAACCAGGATAAAACCAGTGATATTAATGTTGGATATCCTAATAAAGAATAAGTTCATCCCCAACAGAACCTAATGAAATGCCAACACCGGCTTGTATGAAATTTAATCATTTCCATAATTCCACTAACACAATCATGACTATTCTGAAATAGCCAGTCGTTGAGTAGCATAAAAACCAATAACTTTTGATATATATGGACATTTTAGTTGAGACATGCAGCTCAAACAAACTTGAAAATGGCTGCTCAATCCAGGGACAAGAAATTAAGAGACCAGCTAATGAAAGAAACACACTATAGTAATTATTGTCAAGGATGTACTCGTAAGAATAATTGACTAAGGACGTCTAAATATCTTACCTGGTCACGATTTCTGTCAGAATTTTTATCATTTTCAGCAAAATCAACTCTTAGCTGCCGACCATTTATCTCGTACCCTTGAAGGTTACGACGAGCACTCAAGGCAGTCTCTTCATCCTTGTATTCGCAGAATCCATAACCTTTTGGTTTCCCAGTTTCTCTATCAATCACTAATCTGAGGAAGAGAAACAGAACGAGTCAAAAGATGGAAATGCTAGGTAGACGCATCCAAATATGAGAGAGTAAAGGGGAATAATCATCTCTTATTAGACTAAAAAGAACCTCCTTCAGTCGGTCATCCTCCACATAACGCCCTCTAGAAAGAATTTTAAAATCATTGCCAGGGAAAAGTTTTTCGACCAGCTGCAGTAGAAACTTCATGCATTCATTTTTATACTAAAAACGATATATGCTTTTCTAGCTGTCAAGTTCACTCTATCCATTAGTCACCTCAAATCCTCAATCAGCAAACTAACATATACTTGGAACACCAAATTGCGACGAAAAGGTTAAAATAGTATTTCGTTTTACAATCTTTCCCATTTCTTACATGTACTCGAAATATTAGTGCACTTGAAAGTTCAAAACTTGCAATAGGACAAACTCTTCTATGTCCTGCTACGAGAAACTAATTCATCCGCTTTAACTAAATAAAAAACAAAAGATAAAACAACTGCTGTGTTAAATAAGTGAGAGGGCAAAAAGAAAAAATATACTCCACCTGAAGGAAACAACTGGTCCAACCTCCTCACAGATTTGAATTAGTTGCTCCTCAGTAGCATCATATGGTATATTCCCAACTAAATCACCCACAAAAATAAATCCACATTCAGCTAAATATTTTATTCCAATATACAATTATAGTACAGAAGCAACTTAAATTGGATTGAATTGCCAACCCCCAGTATACCCAGTGGGCTAAAGCTTCAATCTTTTCGAGTAATTAAGCAACACTAGGCGGAATTACAATTATCCAAATAGTATTTCATAAACTAATTGATAGATAAAGAGAATTAGGAAGAAAAAAAGAAGAAAAAACTAACCAAAAACGCAGCGACGCTGGGAATCAGAAGAGGCCATAATTGTTAAAAGTAGAAGAAGAAGAAGGTGAAGCTCCAATGACTCAGCTTCATCCTTTTCCTCTTATTATTATTCATGTCCCGCTCATTCACTGAATTTTCCTTTTCCTTTTTAAACTGGGATTAAGCGGAGAGGGCATTGACCGAGCTCGAGGAACCGGCAAAAAGAAAAGACCGGATTTCCAAAACGGGTCAGGTCAATCGGGTCATGATTCAGCCAATTAGTATATTAATCAATATTGGTGTTTCTTTTATGTGGGTTTCTTTTGGGGTTTTAACGGAATAACGAGAATGCTATGCGGCCAAAAATAATTACCAGAAAATTTTATTTTAAAAGATATTATAATGGACATACTACATAGTTAAGAAAAATTATTTATAAAATACTCATCAAGTATGTACATTTTATACCATCCAGGTATAAAATTCACATATTTTATGCCTTAATAATATATTATTAGTATACAATAGTGTGCTTTAACTATTTTTAGTATACTTTCGACGTATACGATTATGTAATTTGTATATCCTAAAGGTATACAACGTACGAAATTGTGTTGTGTAAATTTTTAATGGACGAATTTTGTAAATAAGCACAGGAGAATAGTTTTTTTGCCCTGTTAACTCTGGTATTAATGGAGCAGATGAAAAAGACGTTAATGGAGAAGAAGGAAAAGGTAAATGTTCCATATATTCAAAGCTGGTTGATTCAACATTTGGGCCTCGGACAAATCAGACAATTAGGCCTCAGACAAATCAAACAATTGGGCCGCCTGCTCATTTAGTGACAATTGGGCCGTCTGCTCAATTTGTATAGACACATCAATTAGATAGAGTTAAAATATTGGATCCCATTTTGGATCTTTCTATTCCCACATGATTTTGTTATATAGGATTCTTTAGGTAGTTATTTTGTCATTCCTTTAGCCAACACTAGTCAGACAAACTCTATGAAGGTTTTATTGATTATTATTTTATTCTCTTAGCTCATAAGTTGTACAAATAGGTACACATTCAATGAAAGAAGCAAGTAGAAAATTGTTCAATACTCTCTCGTTTACTTCACTCTTTTACATGGTATCAGAGCACACTTAGATTCTGGACTTCTTCTGCTCCTTCTAAAGATGGTGTCTTCATCTGATGCTCCTTCTAAGGATGGTGGTTCTAGCACCTCTCCTACTATTGATGCTAGCCATCCTTATTTTCTTCACCCATCAGATTCACCCGGTATGACTCTCGTCTCTTCTGTTTTCGATGGTCGTGGCTATGGAGGTTGGAGGAGGTCTCTTCTTATTGCCCTTTCCGCTAAAAATAAGTTGGGCTTCATTGATGGGAGTTGCTCTGCTCCTGCCTCTGATTCTACCTCTTTTAACTTGTGGACTTAGTGTAATGATATGGTAACCTCTTGGTTACTCAACTCCCTTTCAAAGGAAATTGCTGCCAGTGTTCTTTACTCTAAATCTGCTCAAGCTCTTTGGACAGATCTTGAGGATAGGTTTGTCCAATCCAATGAGGCTAAACTCTATCACCTACAAAAGGAAATAAGTGACTTAATGCAAGGATCAAGTGATATTGTTGGCTATTTCACTAAATTGAAGCTATTATGGGATGAACTTGATGTTATTTACACTACTGTTACCTGTTCTTGTGCCTGCACCTGTGGTGGCTAGGTGAAATTGGTTAAGTCTCTTCAAGATGAAAGGTTGATTCAATTTCTCATGAGCTTGAATGATACATATTCTCCTGTTATGAGCAACATCCTAATGATGTCCCCTCTCCCCAACATCAATATTGCCTATTCTCTGTTGGTTCAAGATGAGAGGCAGAGGGAAGTATATGTGAATCCTCAGTTTCCTGGTGACTTTTCTTCTTTCCTAGCCACACGTCAAAATATTTTAGGTCAGAAATCTCAATCATCAGACTTTAAAGGGAGGAAGAATAACTTGATTTGTTCTCATTGCAAGAAACTAGGCCATTCAGTTGACAAATACTATCGAATAATTGGTTTCCCTTCAGATTTTAAGTTCACTAAAACAACAAAGATGCAAGGTGGAATAAGGAGCAATGTTGTCCCAAGGAAATGTTTAACTCCCTTTTGCAAATCAAGTGAGAGGAAGCTTTCTTTCACAAACTCAGTTCTCTCAACTAATTCAACTCCTTTAGAATGTCCAGATCAGTGATACTGGAACCTCACCTTCAGAGCCTTCAGATGTGCAAGCTAATGTGGTTCAATGTGCTGGTAACATTTTCCACAATCCTGTGGCATACTTGACCTGCGCTAACTCTAACTTTTGGATCATAGATTTAGGGGCCTCGGAGCATATGTCCTTTGACTCTCAATTCTTCATCTCTCTTGCCTTTTTGTCCACGCCTTTGTTTATTAACTTGCCTAATTCATTTAGAGTTAAGGTCACTCATGGGGGGACAATCACTCTTTATCCTAATCTCATCCTACATAATGTGCTTCTTGTTCCTTTATTTAGAATTAACCTTATATCAGTGCAAAAATTCTGCAAACAAATGATATGCAATCTCATGTTTTCTCCTGCTTGTTGTCTTATGCAGGGCATTTCAGTGAAGATCCCTCTGGTTCTTGGTGAAGCAAGGAATGAGATTTACCTTCTCAATTCTTCTTCTAGTCAGCTTCAGAAATATTTCAGCACTTTAGTAATTTCTAAGTCTAAAGTTTTGCATACTAGTTGTACTTCAACTTGTAGTTCTATTTCTGTCCCTAAAGGAAGCAATCCAGATATAAAATTGTGGCATATTAGATTGAGTCACATTCCATTCTCTGCAATGATAAAGTTCAGTTTCATTTCCTCTATTCCTAACTCTAATTGCATTTGTGAAATCTGCCCCTTAGCAAGGCAATCCAGATTACCTTTCCCTCTTAGCTCTATCAAATCTACTACTGTGTTTGAATTTGTGCACATTGATACTTGGGGACCCTATAAATCACCTACCTATGATGGATACAAATACTTCCTTACCATAGTTGATCATTATAGTAGGGCAACTTGGACCTATCTTTTGAGTGCTAAGAGTAATGCTTTTCCATTGTTAAAGTATTTTTAGCTATGGTTGAAAGGCAATTTCATTCTAAAGTTAAGGTCATCAGGTCTGACAATGCATTAGAATTGGGAGGAGGTTCTACTATTTCTGATTTCTTTGCTTCACAAGGAATCATTTACCAAACCTCTTGCACTGCTACTCCTCAACAAAACGGCATCGTTGAAAGGAAGCATAGACATCTCTTGGAAACTTCTAGGGCTTTACTGTAGCAATCTAAACTTCCTATCATTTACTGGGGAGAATGTTTATTCACTGCTACTTTTCTCATCAATAGATTCCCATCTTCTATCCTAAATGGAAAAACACAATATGAACTCATTTTTGGCAAACCTCCCAATTATAGCTTCCTTAGATGCTTTGGGTGTATTTGCTATGCTTCTACTTTACCACACAATAGGGCCAAATTTGAACCTAGAGCTATGCCTTGTGTTTTCCTAGGGTATCCACAGGAAAGAAAATGGTATAAACATTTGAACCTAGAAACTAGAAAGGTGTTTGTTTCCAGAGATGTACTTTTCCATGAAACTGAATTCCCATTTTCTTCTTCATCTTTCTCAAATCCCATCTTCACTAAAACTCCTTCTATTTCTACTGTACAAGATCCTCCTATACCCTCTTCTCCTGATCCCTCGTCTACTATCTCCTCACCTTCTCCTGCCTCTACACCTACTGTCTCCACCCCTACATCTCACTCTCCTATTCCCACTCTCAGAAGATCACAAAGGGAACACAACAGGCCTGCATATTTGAATGATTTTGTTTGTGACTCTATTTATCTCACTAACTTGACTGTTGCCTGTTTCACTCATCCCCTTAGTCTCCCTATATTCCCCTTTGCAGCTCTTTCAGTTTCAAACCAACAGCAACTCAACACTATTTCTACTATCACTGAGCCACTAAGCTATTCTCGAGCTGCTATGCACCCTGGATAGCAGAAAGCCATGGATTCTGAACTTGCATCTCTGGAGCAAAACCAAACTTGGGAGTTGGTTGAATTGCCACCCGGAAAGAAGGCTTTACCTTGTAAATGGGTTTACAAGATGAAACACAAATCGGATGGAACTCTTGAAAGATTAAAGGCACGATTGGTCATTCGAGGGGGTATTCAGCGAGAAGGCATAGATTTCAACGAGACCTATTCACCAGTGGTCAAGATGACCACAATTAGATGCATTCTCGCTGTGGCAGTGAAAAAAGGATGGCCTATATCTCAACTAGATGTGAATAACGCCTTTTTACATGGTGAGTTACAAGAAGAAGTTTATATGAAGCTTCCTAATGGGTTGCCTTTCACAAATTCTAACCTTGCTTGCAAACTCCAAAAGTCATTATATGGTTTGCGACAGGCCTCACGATAGTAGTACGCTCGATTAGGGGCTGCCTTAAACTTTAAAGGTTATTCTTCATCGCTCAATGATTATTCACTATTCTTTAAGAGGTTAGGGGACTCAATTTCTATTGTAGCTATTTATGTCGATGACATTTTACTCACTGGAAATGATCCATCAGAGATTGTAAAATTAAAAGATTTCTTGAATGATGAATTTAAAGTCAAAGATTTGGGGGACTTACATTATTTCCTAGGTTTGGAAATACTTCAAGAACCACAAGGTGTCATCATCAGTCAGCGCAAGTTCACTCTTGACCTCCTTTCTGAGTTCAATTGTGATCATCTTCCTCCGGTCTCTTCTCCCTTGGATCCTTCTTGCAAGCTCTCCATTGACACTGGTGGCTTACTATCTGATACCACTTATTATCGTCGCTTGATTGGCAAGCTCAACTATTTGACGCATACCCGACCAGATCTTTCATTTGCGGTTCAACACGTATTTCAGTTTATGCAAACTCCCTGTGTTCCCCATTTTTCAGCTGCTCTTAGAGTTCTTCGTTATTTGCGCACTGCTCCTGTCCAAAGGCTTTTTATGAGCAAAGATCCTTCCTTTTCCATTCTTGCCTTTTGTGATGCCGATTGGGCTTCGTGTGTTGATTCCAGAAGATCCCATTAGTGGGTATTTCAGAAGTCTTGGAGGTTCACCCATTTCATGGAAGTCCAAAAAGCAAGTTTCCGTCTCTTTGTCTTCAGCGGAAGCAGAGTATCGC